AAAAGACAAAGCCTACGCTGTCGACCTACCTGGCCAAGAACTACAGCTACAGTAAGTAGGAACTTTGCCCGTCCCACCCCTCTCCGTGCCCCCCGCGCGTTAGGCAGCTCCATGTGGGTGCTGCACCCACGCCGAGCCCCATCCCGCAAGTGCAGCGTGAGGACACCGCTCCGTCACAGTCTTTCCAAGTGGGTTTTTTGCCCCCCGAGGACAGCGAGCTGTCCTCTTCCGAAACCCACCACTGGCGCACACCTAGTCTTGGCGGAGATGATGGTATCTTTCTGATAAAAGCAGGGAAATGTCGGTAGCGTGCACGGGCATCAACAGGTCGCTCTGTAGAAAGGATGCTCGCTGTTGTAAGGGTCACTCTCGTAAGTGCAATTAGGTCTGATGTGAGCATGGCCATCTGCTGTTTGGCCAGCTCCTGTCTTCATCTGGCAGGTGGAATAAGATTTATCACCTAAATAAAACTTGTAAATGTGAACAAAGCTGAAGCAAGGTAAAAAGTTATTGCTTAGAAATTCCTATATTCTTTTACTTACTAGCCAGAGTTGCAGCTGGTGTGGAATTGTCAGAGACCAGTTGAATTTGGTGACAATTTGCACCAGCCGGCCGAGGAGCTGGCCGATAGTTTTATCGTAGGTTGCATGACATATCGGCAATACGAGTTAGTACTGACCCCTCTTCCCCCTTGGCTCCCCCCTCTCCCCAGTTTTCTGATGCTGGCAGTCAGCAAAAACTCTAATTAAGATTAGATAAATACCAGATTAAACATCTGTCATGTCAGTAGAAAACCCCCATGAGCTATGAATTTATCACGCGGTATCATGGTCTTTTGCACTTTATGGGCTTTTTCTCAGATGGCAGTTGTTTCTCCAAGGGATTTATTCAGCTCTTATGCAGTGGGGTTATTATAGCCATTCAGTTCCCATTTGTCTGATCTCAAATGAAAGTAAGTTTGTAGTTAATTGCTTCTTTGTTAGCATTGGAAAAAAAACCAGTTTGGTGGGAATAATCAAGCTGAACATCTAACTTAGGTAATTGTACACTTTTTTGTTACGGCATTTTGGTGCATTTGTATCATATATTCTTCTTGTATAACTCCTTGTTCTCTCTCAGTACGACACAGTGATATGTTCAGGTGGGACAATGAACTTCCACACTTGCCTGAAACAGATAAAAAAGCAGTGATATAAAATGACTACTCTGAAATGAAATACAGGTGTTAGGTAGATTCTGATTCCAGTGGCTTCAGTGGGAGTGTTGCTTGAACAAAAACTGTAGCTTGGGGTCCAAAATTTAATTCCACTGAATTTGTGAAATCAAGATTTTGTTTTTGAGAGTTGGATTTTTATCCAACCTCCTCTGAAATAAATAGACATGCTTATGTGGAAAATGAATTGAGAGACGACACAAGACAAGGCAGAGCAAATTGCAAAGAAAATCTGATTTTTTTTTCTGAAATCCTTTAGAATAATATATACAGCCAAATTGTATTTCTAGCTGGTTGGAGCTTGGTTCCAATCAGACTTGCAAATGGATTGTGAGTCTCCAAAACTGAAATCCCTCATGTGTTTTGTGGCTGTGACACATGTCCTGATAAAGTTAGGACATAAACCCCATTAACCTGCATTAAAATTGCTGGTCTCCTCTTTTCTACCCGTGAAGTTCACCCCAAACGTTGGGAGGTCCAGCTGAAGGCTTCTGTCCTGGTGGCTGCCAGGGGCAGCGTCGATGCAGGCTGATCACCCGGTGGTACATCCACTTCTCATCCTGCTTTCACTGAAGAATTTTGTGCTGATAGGACCCTTCCTATTTTGACAGTTTCTGGAGAAAAAGTCCTTTGTCTAAAAATCGTGCTGCATTTCTCTGATTTGGTACCTCTCACAAGAGAGAAGGGGTGAAATGCTGTGGGGATGGATGCTGCCGGGGTACCCAGGGATCATCCTCAGAGCGCTCTACACAGTTTCACCTTCTTGCATCCATGCAGACACGCAGCTTTCCTGAACAAAAGGTGAAAATATGAAAGTTTGTGTATTCGGAGTCAGAAGAACCCGTTTCAAAGTCTGTTTTATATGAGGATCTTATATTGATGGATAATCCAAAGGCAAAAGATGAAACCAAGTATAGACCCAGTAAATCACGATGATCCTAAGCTTCTTAGTTTTTGCCTACTTGTTTCAAACCTTCCCTTCTTTCTTCTATTTAAGAAAAGACTTTCGTTCCTGGATTCCTTACAGGGAAATGATTTTATTATTGAAAAGTCTGAATTCACGCTAACTCTTTGTGAGGTAAATTATTCATTACTTATTTGGAAACAGCCAGATGTGGCTGTCGAGCGGGTCCGATTCCTGCGAGGGTTGTTCAGGTCTGAGTCAAAGGAGCTGTCTGTGTGTGTGATTCCAGGCGAGATCGCTCGGCCTGATCTGGCAAAGATTTAAGCACATGTTTAATTTCACAGTTGTCAACATTTTTCCAAATCGGGATCAGGCCTCTGTTATTCTAAGCCACTGTGCGTGCCCACAGATGAAGACATAGTTCTAGTTTCACAGCCGAAACCACAGCTTTCAATTTAATACGTTTTATTTAATTTTGAGATGTGTTTACATTTCTAAGACTTTGTTATTCTCACGCTTCTATTTTTTGAATTGCAGTCATTCACGCTAAAGTCAAAAGCGTAGAAAGAGGGAACTGCAACGAGATAACGACTGTGGTTGAAGTCAAAGACATACTTAAGTCTTCGATGCCAATTCCTCTGTCTCAAGTGCCTCTTCTTACAAATTCCTCCTGCCAGTGTCCCCCTCTTCAGCCGAAGCAGGATGTTCTCATCATGTGCTATGAATGGCGCTCAAGGTGAGCCCTGGCGATGCGGTGCGGGAAGGTGTTATAGCTAGCTGGGAGAGATGGGAAGGAGGACCGGCAACGCTCCCTTCTTCATCATGAGCATGTTTTGCTGATAGTTTTTCTTAGGATAAATCACACATACACCTACATGTTTCAATTATCTTCGCCATTAACTTTTTCCACTTGATCAGCCTCAGCTCTGTGCCGCAATGGAGTGTTTACAAAGCCCATCTCACACGTGGAACATAAACCCTGGTGGCGTTAGGTGCTGACAGCATATTGCTTAATGCATCGTGCAGCAGTTCAGGCATCTCCAGCTGTTTGGGAGTGTTTTTCCAGGACCACTTTCCGTAGGTATGAGCTGCTTCGTGTGCTACAAGCCCGAAGGTGGCTGTCGATGGTGGTCCGTGTTGGCAGTGGAAGGCACAGTTCTGCCTCACCGACCCCAGGGGAGGGGTCAGGCGATGATACACATCTGTCTGCAGAGGTGCTGGAGGCAGAGCCAGGCCTTCTCCGCCGGCCTGTCCGTACTTAGGACCGGTGCCATCAGCGAGATGTTTCTGATCCCACAGCTGTAGCGGGACCAGCCAAGGCTGCAGCCATTGGAGCTCCGGCTTCCGATGGCAGATGAAAAGTAAATACTCTCAGAGCAGCTTGCCAGTCCTGCCGTATGATTAAAAGACAAAATAAAACTAACTTTACCAGACCTTTCATCTGGCAGTCAGCCTAGCCCCAGGCATGGAAGGAAATCCAGCATGCTGGTCTGGAAGGGAGGGAGTGATGAATCACAGCTCCCGTTTCTCTCTGGGTCCTGGAGGCAGAAGGGGACATCCCAGCCCCGTTCCCACCCCAGGCATACCGGTAGCAAAGATGCCCAGAGGACAGATTGTGGCGTGGTAGGTACGTGTGCCTGTGTGTGCGGGTCGGAGGTAAGGCGGTGTGTAAATTGTGCAGGCTGGTTTTGCATACGGTGATGTGATTGTTAGTTGATCACGCGCACTTGTAAGGACCGTAGAACATCTACGTGCAGAACTTGATGGGCCATCCCCATATTTTCAATGAGTTTTATGTTGAAATTTTTAGAAGCATTTTATAGGTGTTTCTCAAAGTTGCTATCTGATACCTTATTACTTTAACTTTTTTGGGGGAGCTCACAGGCACAGTATTTTATTATTCCATAGCACCTTGCCCCTCCAGCTCTGGAAGTATTTCACAAAGATTAATTTAGAGCCCTCTACTTGTGTTAGCCATTTTAGGGATACACGCTGTGAGTCACGCGGAAGGACCACGACCAAGATTGCGATCAAGGAGCTCTGAGCTGCAGAGCTTTTTTGGAGAGGACCCTCAGGAGGCTGCCAGGAAGGGGAGATTTCAAAAGTGAAAGATTGCAATCTGCTTCTCCATTACTATGGAAAAACACACCATTCGCTAAATATTTTGTGATGGTTTTTAAAGGTCACTGAGGTTTTTAATTTCATATAGTGTACTAAAATGGATTTGAAAAAGAAACATAAACTATTATATGTGTTTCCTGTTGAACTCAGCGGCATGCAAACAGAAGGTTTTGAGTTACAGCAGCTTTTTAAAATGCCAGAAGCAAAATGGGTGGAAGCTGTATCTCCGCTAAAGTCAATGGCAAAACACCCATTGCCCATCGATAGGGTTAGGGTCTCACTCAATAATTTGACCTGAACAGAAGCTGTATCAGATGTACACCCTGGGGTGGTTTCATTCATCACGACGTGGCCTTAGCTTCAATCCTATACGTTAACTCTCTAACCTCTCCTTGGAAAGGAAAGGTGATGTATATCACGTTGGTCTTCATTCTCCAGGGCTTGCACTCACGGTAGTCCTATTACGTTTGGTATGAAATTGTGTGCATTTTTAATGATGTTTTGAGGTCTCCAGCCAACAGTGATGTCTAAGTAAAACCTTCCAGGATTAGGGAAACTATATTAGGGCATATTAAGGACCAGTATCTCAAAAA